CTGAAGAGTTTAGCTCCAACCCTAATTAAACACACCTGAAGCAGCTAATCAAGCTCTTACTAGGTATACTAGAAACTTGAAGGCAGGTGTGTTGAGGCAAGTTGGAGCTAAACTCTGCAGGACACCGGCCCTCCAGGACCCAGTTTGGACACCCCTGCTTTAATAGCACCAAAGAAATACCAAGTATTATCACAAACTATGCTACTGTTTTTTTCTTAAACATTGTGGCCATATTTTTATAAAGTTGTCATGATGCAAACATCTGTCATGACAAATTAAGAAAATAACTACAGTATCTTAAAGTTAAATTAACAATTATATATAAAATATTAAACTTTAAAGAACCCAAACACACTGTAAACAATTCTACATCAGTAAAATACTGACCATAACCTACATTAAGGTTGAAAATGCCAGCAAAAGTTTTTGCCATTTAACCCTCTGGGGTCTGAGGGTGTTTTGGCGCCCTGAAGAAGTTTTAGCATGCCCTGAAATTTGTTTTTTTTTTTCAGTATCTTAAAAAAAATGTTAATGACTAAAGTCTGATAACACTGTATTCAGCACAAACTGTGCTCCAATAATTTGTGAGCAGCATGAAAGTACATGTTTGTGTTTCTGAGAAAACAATGTTTATGCATGGTTAGTGAAAAACTAATTTTTTTAAGTCACTGTAATAAGGCCATAAAACACATACAGAACGTTTGTTCACAAGACTTTTGAGAATGTGGTCTAGATTCACGAAACGGTCGTCCATAAAATGCGTTGCTGTTCTGTTGTAAGTAATCTTAAAGATTCCTAAATGCATCTACTTTCGGAAGGCCAAATAAAGTGCTTTTGCTTTCGCCTAGAAACACACAGCGTCTCCCTGACATGCTGCTTCAACACTAACTGCGGTTACTGAAACCACGCCGCCTTTCTTTGCGTGCACATTTGGGCGGCATTATGCAAATATTTCCACATAGTGAGGTAGATATGTGGGGGCGTGTTAGAGCGAGCCGTTTTAGGAGGGCGTGGCAGAGTCTTAACTTTGATAAAGAATATATCTTTGGTTTTGAGACTTTAGTCTTTGCAACTTCAGGGATCTTATCTATGCACAATCAGCTTGTAACACTCCAAAGAGAAAGGAAAACTTGAAATCGCATCATATGACCCCTTTAATGTTGAAACAATGACAGCAAAAGTTTTTGCCATTTAACCCTCTGGGGTCTGAGGGTGTTTTGGTGCCCTGGAGAAGTTTTGGCATGCCCTGACATTTGTGTTTTTTCCAGTATCTTAAAAAATGTTTAATGGCTAAAGTCTGATAACACTGTATTCAGCACAAACTGGGCTACAATCAAACATGTGCATGAAAGTACATGTTTGTGTTTTTGAGAAAACAGTGTTTATGCATGGTTAGTGAAAAACAAAAAATTTTAAGTCACTGAAATAAGGCCATAAAACACATACAGAACTTTTGAGAATGCGGTAGACTAGAGTTTTTGCTACAAAATGATGCGAGAATTATCCTGTTCACTTATTTACAGAAAACAATATATTGATTTAACATTTGTAAAACATGTTTTGTGATAGAATGCCCTTATGCGAGGGTGTGGCAATGGCCATGAATATTTAGTGATTCACACTGAGAGATAGTGTTAACAATCACACTACTTTTATATCTTGTGGTTTTATATGTTAAAACATTAAACAAACATCCTGGCGTTGTGAGACATTTAGACAATGAAATATCACATATTTCAAAATGTTTCACTTGATTTCAAACATGTAGTCAGGAATTTTGAAAAGTCTAACTAGTAAGATGTGTACAAGTTATGTCACAATAACAACAGATGCAAGTAATCCTAGGCTACTCATCAGAGTGATATTCTCCACTGGATCTAGCTGCGTGACGCATTGCGTTGTGAGGTCAATTCTGGGTTATTTCTCTCAGCGCGTCTTCTTCCAGAAACAAAAAGTAGCCGGGATGAACTCTTCACGGTTGTTTATGTGGAGGCGATGTGGATGTTTACAATCTGAAAAGCGCGATCGGCTTGTGGCCGTGACCGCATTCGATGTAATGAGTTGAGACGGGAAAACTGGACATTGCGTATGTTTCATACGGATTACTTTTACAGATAATATTTGTTTTGGACGTTAATTTAAAGGGAGACATTTCAGGCTTTCTATAAATATATTTCTCATGTCTTTGAGGCAAGTATTCGCTGAGATTCAGGTTGTTTTATTTACGTGTCTGTGAAGAGAGGTGACCGAGACCGAGACGGCGGAGAACGCACCCTGTTTATTAATTTATTTTTTTTACAAAAACACATTTTGTTGTTATTATGACTATGCACAAATAAAAGTAGACCCTTTGCAGTTTCAAACTATACCTTATTCTTATCTGTACGATCAAAACTGATTAAATGATTTAACATTTGTAAAACATGTTTTGTGATAGAATGCCCTTATGCGAGGGTGTGGCAATGGCCATGAATATTTAGTGATTCACACTGAGAGATAGTGTTAACAATCACACTACTTTTATATCTTGTGGTTTTATATGTTAAAACATTAAACAAACATCCTGGCGTTGTGAGACATTTAGACAATGAAATATCACATATTTCAAAATGTTTCACTTGATTTCAAACATGTAGTCAGGAATTTTGAAAAGTCTAACTAGTAAGATGTGTACAAGTTATGTCACAATAACAACAGATGCAAGTAATCCTAGGCTACTCATCAGAGTGATATTCTCCACTGGATCTAGCTGCGTGACGCATTGCGTTGTGAGGTCAATTCTGGGTTATTTCTCTCAGCGCGTCTTCTTCCAGAAACAAAAAGTAGCCGGGATGAACTCTTCACGGTTGTTTATGTGGAGGCGATGTGGATGTTTACAATCTGAAAAGCGCGATCGGCTTGTGGCCGTGACCGCATTCGATGTAATGAGTTGAGACGGGAAAACTGGACATTGCGTATGTTTCATACGGATTACTTTTACAGATAATATTTGTTTTGGACGTTAATTTAAAGGGAGACATTTCAGGCTTTCTATAAATATATTTCTCATGTCTTTGAGGCAAGTATTCGCTGAGATTCAGGTTGTTTTATTTACGTGTCTGTGAAGAGAGGTGACCGAGACCGAGACGGCGGAGAACGCACCCTGTTTATTAATTTATTTTTTTTACAAAAACACATTTTGTTGTTATTATGACTATGCACAAATAAAAGTAGACCCTTTGCAGTTTCAAACTATACCTTATTTTTATCTGTACGATCAAAACTGATTAAATATTTTAGTTATTTTCGCGGTCATAAAGAAAATACGAGACAGACTGCACCAGTGTGTGCCACTTTATAACGCTTGAGCAATTGAAGCTTGCTTGGATGTCAGTCGCGGTGGTTGTGACGAAGTGTGTTCATCGGTGGGCCTTTTGGCCATGCATTCATCATAGATTTGTCTGTGATACTTCTGCAGGTGCTGATACAGGTTGGTTGTGTTGCCTCGTGAGGTCGACACAGACGTTCGGCAGGTTTTAAGTGCTTGCCTTCGAAGTACATCCGAACGTCAAAATCCAAAATAATTCCAAACATACTTTTGACATGAAAAAACATGCTTTTTCGTTTAGGTATCAAGTTGTCTGCAGGACTTTGCTCTTCTGCAGACACACTTTGTTGGGAAGTTGAACTGCTGCTCCCGCTCGCGCTTATCTTTTCCAAATGGCGTTATTTGCTGGTTCAGTCAGCACGTGCAGTGTTAAAATGCCCCCTATTGGTTAAACTCTGCATCAAAGTAAAATGCGCAACTGTCAAAAACGATGTAGCTGCTTGTTACATATTTGATAGTCCTTCATCGAAATAATCGCTCTTGCGATTTGAAAATCGCACCCTTTCAAATCGCGATTTCGGTTTACAAACGATTAATCGTGCAGGCCTAATGTCTCGGGTTGTGTGCTTGGTGTCTCGGGTTGTGTGCTTAACAACAGATGCAAGTAATCCTAGGCTACTCATCAGAGTGATATTCTCCACTGGATCTAGCTGCGTGACGCATTGCGTTGTGAGGTCAATTCTGGGTTATTTCTCTCAGCGCGTCTTCTTCCAGAAACAAAAAGTAGCCGGGATGAACTCTTCACGGTTGTTTATGTGGAGGCGATGTGGATGTTTACAATCTGAAAAGCGCGATCGGCTTGTGGGCGTGACCGCATTCGATGTAATGAGTTGAGACGGGAAAACTGGACATTGCGTATGTTTCATACGGATTACTTTTACAGATAATATTTGTTTTGGACGTTAATTTAAAGGTAGGCATTTCAGGCTTTCTATAAATATATTTCTCATGTCTTTGAGGCAAGTATTCGCTGAGATTCAGGTTGTTTTATTTACGTGTCTGTGAAGAGAGGTGACCGAGACCGAGGCGGCGGAGAACGCACCCTCAAGCCCAGCCCAGATGAGAAAAGGTAACGCAAAAGTAATGTAACACATTACTTCCCATAAAAAGTAAATAATGCAATTACTTATTTAGGGAGTAGCACAATATTGTAATTACTTTTATAAGTAACTTTCAAAAACAATCAAAATGTGTTATTTTTCACATCTGGGCTGGGCTTGCTTGTTTGTTTTTAATAAAACAAGTTCTGTCTTTGGCAAATGTAAGCTTTCACAGCAAAAGTGAAATGAATAAGCTTCAGGCTGAAGGAAATATTAATTCACGTCTGTGCATTAGAGCGTGCAGCTCAAACAAACTGCTGCTTTTCTGGATAACATGAAGAATCTGATGCAGGAGAAGAAAGTTCAACACTCTTCATGAATAAAAAGAAGAAAGAAACACAAATGTTGTTGATCTAAAGGCATTCTTACTATGGTTGAATTGGATTATCGAATGTCAGCTGCAAAGGCATTGGTTAGTAAAATGGGATAAAATACAGTAGTGTTATTTAATCATTGCAGGTTTGAGACCTTATTCTGAATTTACATTTCATTTTATGCTGTTTTTGTGTACGTGAAATGAGTAAATGCATGTTCACATTTAGTCTAGAAATACAGAAAGCATCATACACAGCAAACACAGTCAGTAAATGTGAAAACAAAGTAACTTGTGATACTTATTTGGAAAAGTAACTCCGATGTAAATTGTACATTAAAAAGTAATGCGTTACTTTACTAGTTACTTGAAAAAGGTAATCTGATTTTGTAACTTATGTTACTTGTAGCCCCAACACTGCAAAGGAAAGACCGAACTAACCTTTGAAGATCAAAGATCTGATACTTAATACTCACCTTGAAATGATTCTAACTTATTAATAGGTTTATTTTAGACCAGATAGAAGTGAAAGAGCGAAGACAAGAACTGAATGGAGTGAAATGTCAATGGTGATGATCCTTTAGCTTGTCTACCTATTCACACAAGTAAAATATGCTTAATATGCCAATTTACAGAAGATCTCAGACATCATCATAATGAAGGTGAAAACAAGGAACTATTTGAAAGAGATAGCACCGGAGCTAAATGTGACAGCTCAGTTATTTTGATCTTTTGTCGTTTATATTACAAACATACATTTGTAAATTGTTTAATCTGATGCTAAAGTAAAACTACACTGGGGTGCATTTCCTTTCAACAATGCAACTCGCTGTTCAATATCCTGCCTTTCATAAAAATTAGTTTGCTGTTTTATGTGCTAATAATAAAAAATACTCCGTATTTCTAACAGCAAATATGTTCATTTAATTTCAGCATAATTGAAGCAGTTCAGTATAAATTAAGTCCTGTATTTTAATTTCTCCAGATCTGGTCCTGTGGGTCTCAGTATCAGACAATGATCAGTGAAGCCCCTCCCATAACAATTCAGCTATAAATACTGGAGAATATTCACATCATCCTACAAGAGAAGAACAAACTCCAGGTGCAGCAGCTGAAATCTGTGACTGTTAAAGATGGAGTTTATTAAAGAGGAGATTGAAGACATGAGGGATCCAGAACCATCCAGAATAAAACATGAAGATACTGAGAAACAAACAGGTTGGTTCTTGGTTCTTAATTACTGACTGTTTTTGTTAGTTGTGAAATTGTGATCAGTATATGGATGATAAATTATACAGAAATGCATTTAAATTATCATAACACTGTTGTCATCTACAAGATAATTATCTAATCTTTTGCACATCTGATTCTTTTTACAATTATCTGATCTCTGTTGTTTTCTGCTGTTAAATCAGGGTTCACATAAACTGATTCTTACTTGTTTATTTCAGACCGGATTGAGATGAAAGAGCACAAACAAGAACCGAATGAAGAGGAGGAGAAACACTGTGACTTCAAAACTCAAAGAACAAAAGCCAAAAAGCTGCACAACTGCTCACAGTGCGAGAAGAGTTTCTCACACAAAAGAAACCTTAAAAGACACACGAGAATCCACACTGGAGAGAAACCATACACATGCCCTCAGTGTAGAAAGAGTTTTTCACAACTGGACACTTATAAACAGCATCAGAAAACACATGATGAAGTGAAAGATCATGTGTGTTTGGATTGTGGGAAGAGCTTCACTAAAGTTACCAGTTTGAAACTGCACAAAAGGATTCACACTGGAGAAAAACCTCACAAGTGTTCATATTGTGACAAGAGTTTCACTCAGGCAGGAACCATGAAAATACATGAGCGAGTTCACACTGGAGAGAAGCCGTATCACTGTACTCAGTGTGGAGAGAGTTTCAGAGATAAAACTGATCTCAATGTTCATCTGCTCATTCACTCTGGAGAAAGACCATTTACCTGTGATCAGTGTGGTACAGATTTTAAATCATCAGTACATCTAAAATACCACATGAAAATTCACACAAATGAGAGGCCTTTTGCTTGTTTTTCTTGTGGAGAGAGTTTTGCTCAACTGGATCATTGTAAACGGCACCAAAAAATACACACCGGTGAGAAAGATCATGTGTGTCGTGACTGTCCAAAGAGCTTTACTAGATCTGACACTCTGCAACGCCACCAAAGAATTCACACTGGAGAAAAACCTCACAAGTGCTCATATTGTGACAAGAGTTTCACTCAGTCTGAACACCTGAAAAAGCATGAGCGAGTTCACACTGGAGAGAAGCCGTATTACTGTACTCGGTGTGGAAAGAGTTTCAGATGTAAAAGTGGTCTCAACCGTCATCTGCTCGTTCACTCTGGAGAAAAGCCAATTACCTGTGATCAGTGTGGTACAGATTTCAAATCATCAGCATTTCTGAAAAAACACATGATAATTCATACAAATGTAAGACCTTATGAATGTTTGTTTTGTGGAAAGAGTTTTGCTCGGCCAAATCATTGTAAAATGCACCAGAAAATACACACCGGTGAGAGAGATCATGTGTGTGAGTGTGGGAAGAGCTTTACTAGAGCTGCCCATCTGAAACAGCACCAAAGAATTCATACTGGAGAGAAACCTTACAAGTGCTCATATTGTGACAAGAGTTTTAGTCACTCTGGAAACCTGAAAAGGCATGAGCGAGTTCATACTGGAGAGAAGTACTACTGCCCTCCCTGTGAGAAGAGTTTTAGATTTTTAAAAAGCCTAAAAAGGCACTTGAAAAAACGTCACATCACAGTGAGCAACATTTTTATGTTAAAATAGTCAAACAAATTGTGTGAGATAAACAAAATATGAAGTTGCTCCCAAAAGCACAAATGCACCTTTAATTTTGTGAATTTTGACTTGTTTGTAGTCTGATTAAGGAGCTATAGAGTGATGTTTGAAGTTTCACCATAAAATGATTCTCACAGTGTTAATAATAATTTAAATCTTTCCTACTGTGTAATTAGTTTGTAAAACCAGGCTGGACTTGGAGGTTTTGCTTGAATGAAACACATTCACTTGTTTTCTATATGCTCAGATTGTACATGAGTTGGAAGATTTTAACCAATAATAATAAAAAACTGCTAAATAAAGTTTTCATTATTAACAGATGGTTTAGAATTTCCATTAAAACAGCTGCATTATGTTGCAAGACAAACATTGTTGTATAATTTAATTTGAATAATATAAGTTCAGTGACAAAACATGCATCATCTGAATCACTAGATTCTATTGTTTAATTATATTTAACTTTTATAAACTAATTTCAATATAAAAATAAATATCATAGTTAATAATCTTGTAGTTTGTCTTAGTCTATTGACACACAATGAAATGTGACCCTGGACCACAAAACCAGTCTTAAGGGTCAATTTTCTGAATAAATCAGCTCTCCATTGATGTATGGTTTGTTAGGATCGGACAATATTTGGCCGAGATACAACTATTTGAAAATCTGGAATCTGAGGGTGCAAAAAAATCACCTTTAAAGTTGTCCAAATTTCTTATATTACTAATCAAAAATGAAGTTTTGATATATTTACGATAGTAAATTTAAGTGTGACGTGAGGCCAAGTATGGTGACCCATACTCAGAATTAGTGCTCTGCATTTATCCCATCCAAAGTGCACACACACAGCAGTGAACACACACACACTGTGAACACACACCCGGAGCAGTGGGCAGCCATTTATGCTGCGGCACCCGGGGAGCAGTTGGGGGTTCGGTGTCTTGCTCAAGGGCACCTCAGTCGTGGTATTGAAGGTGGGAGAGAGTGCTGTACATTCACTCCCCCCACCTACAATCCCTGCCGGTACGAGACTCGAACCCACAACCTTTGGGTTACGAGTCCGACTCTAACCATTAGGCCACGACTTCCCCAACAACAGTAAAGATATTTTGTAAAAAAATTTACAAAATATATTCATTGAACATGATCTTTATTTCATATCTTAATGATTTTTGGCATAAAAGAAATATCGATTATTTTGACCCATACCCGTGCGACTTATGACTGGTTTTGCGCTCCATGGTCACAAATGTGCTTAATGTGCCAATTTACAGAAGATCTCAGACATCCTCATAATGAATGAGGTGAAAACAGGGAACTATTTGAATGAGACAAAGGCTTTTCAGCATCTCAGTTAAACGTGATGGCTCTGTTATTTCGATCTTTTGTTGTTTATATTACAAACAGACATTATGACTGGGTGATTTCTATGCACATACAAGCGGGGCGGGGCTGATGTTTATGTTCTGGCATTCCTTTCAAACTGTTCAGACACATCTAAAACTCCTCCAACATAGAGAGCACAAGTAATTATTTATTTCTATGAATGCATAAATTACACTAAAAAATGCTGGGTTAAAAAGGGACAAACCCAGCTATTGGGTTGTTTTGACCCAGCGGTTGGATTGTTTTGACCCAACCGCTGGGTCAAAACAACCTAATAGCTGGGTTTGTCCCTTTTTAACACAGCGCTGGGTTATATTTAACCCAGCATTTTTTAGAGCGTAGGATTATTTTATTGTAAGATTCTAGAACACCCTGTCCTGTGCCCTCTATACCTCCTAAGGATGCAGCCATGATCATGGTCATAAGACATGGTGTTTTGCTTAACTGGCTATACTAAGTTTTTTCCTTTACTTTGCTGAGCTGACAGTTTCACTGCCTCTACTTCGCATATATGATGTACCCCTTACAATAAAGCTTTGTACCTTGATAGGTATACCTGCTTTTTGTGCTCCATCTCTCAACCAGAATAGATCTTCTCAAATTCTTTATTCTAACATTTATTTATAAATCTGATGTTAAAGTAAAACCACCCTAGGGTTTCTATACAATGGTGTAGCCTAAGGCGCTTCTTAAAATTCTGCATTTTAAAAACACGAGTTGCTTTTTATACATTTGTTTTATATGCTAATAATATACAGCCTTGCCAAAATCCTCTGTATTTGTAATGGCAAATATGTACACTTAAAATTCAGCATAACTGAAGCAGTTCAGTATAAATTAAGTCCTGTATTTTGATTTCTCCAGATCTGGTCCTGTGGGTCTCAGTATCAATGATCACAGTTCACACCTACAGTGAAGCCCCTCCCACAACAGTTCAGCTATAAATACTCGAGAATATTAACATCATCCTACAAGATTGTTTTTTTAATTCTTTAAAAAGAGATCAACCTTATGTCTGTATTCCAAAGTGTTCATAAATTACAACAATTTAAGTTTGGATAGTGAACCTGCATGCCTATTTTAAAAAAAATGGGGGGTGACAGTTAAGGGGTTAAAAAAGCAAATAATCTAGGGATCCCTGAGATATTAAATGTACATCATAATCTTGTATAGCAGTTGTCATCCACATTTTGATTGTATTAACAAGTGAATGACAGAACTAACCTTTGAAGATCAAAGATCTGATTAAAGTATCTCAAATAGGGTACAACGGGGTTAAACGCACCCCGGGGTAAAAGGCTCCTTTGATATTATTTTCATCTAAACCACTAGACGGCACAAAAACGTGGCGTAGCACTTTCCAAAACATTCACTTTTCAAGATGCACCTGTATATTTGTCTGATCCTTGACACGATCGCGCGCAGCAATGCAAAGTTGATTCCGTGCTTACTTAATCTAATATTTTATGGTTTTTTTTTAAATGTTGTAGATTTAAGTAGCAAATGAGAATTGCTCAAATTACTGCATATATTTTGAAACAAAGGTCTTTATGATTTTCAGTTTTGTTTAAGATAATTAAAGCAACAGTTTTTAAATAACGAAAGAATATGTAAAAGTATGGTATTTGGGGTCAAAAGCGCCCCTGCTGTTGGGGCTAAAGGCGCACAGTAATTAACATGATAATTAATAGATGGCTCACTTTTCCATTTATTGACATGACATGGTTAGATTCAGATGATAAATATCATATATTATGTTGGGTGTGTCCATATTAGAGATAATCACCATGTTTAGAATAAAACCATCATATTTAAAAACATGATATTAATCATATAATATAATAAAATATCATTTGTTGTTACTACTGTAAATATATATTCAATTATTATTGGATCTCCTTCAATACTTTCAGAATCTTTACTTATTAAAATTATTTTGTTTCTGTATTTTAAAATATATTTTTTAAATGAACATACTTTAATGACAGTATATTTATTGAACAAAAATTCATTCTTTTATTTTTCAAAATAAGCAGAAAATAGTACAAACTTTGCTAAAGTGATTGTTTTGAACAAGTATTAACTTAAACATTATTTTAAAAAACATTATTTTAGCTGAAGTATTTGTATCAAAGTTACTTGAAAAAAGTAATCTGATTACGTAACTCGCGTTACTTGTAATGCGTTACCCCCAACACTGTCCATAACTCTAGTGTAATTTGAACGGGAGCGGGCGGTCTAACAATATCCCGTTCCCGACATCCTTTCAGAATAACATATCTGTCCTTTATTCTTACTGACCACCGGTACAGCCTATTTGTACAATATAGTATTTTTATACTGAAATTGAAAATTTGTGTAGATAAGTTAAATATAATTAAAGAAAAGAATCTGGTGATACATGTTTTGTCATTGAACTTGCATTATTCAAAGCAAACTATACAGCAATGATTGTTGTCTTGAAATTGAATGGACTTTTTAAACCATCTGTAAATAAAGAAAACAATCAGATTTACTTTTTGTCAGCTAGTTTACTGATTAATATTTTCCAACTCATGTACAATCAGAGCATAATATAGAAAACAAGTACATGACATGAACGTGTCTTATTAAAGAAAGACTTGCTTAGCACACAACCCAGACACATTTTACAAACTAATTACGGTAGGAAAGATGCTAACTATTATTTACACGGTAAGAGTTATTAACTTGGTGAAACTTCCAAATTTATAGTTCCTCAATCAGACTGCAAACGAGTCAAAATTCACAATCAAACTAGATGCTGTTGTGCTTTTGGGAGCAACTTCATATTTGTTTATCTCACACAGCTTACTCAACTGTTTTAACATGAAAATGTTGCTCACTGTGACGATGTGTGACATTTTTTCAAGTGATTTTTAAGGCTTTTTAAACATCTAAAACTCTTCTCACAGGAGGGCAGTAGTACGGCTTCTCTCCAGTATGAACTTGCTCATGTGCTTTCAGGGATCCTAACTGAGTGAAACTCTTGTCACAATATGAGCACTTGTAAGGTTTCTCTCCAGTATGAATTCTTTGGTGCTGTTGCAGATTATCAGCTCTAGTAAATCTCTTCCCACACTCACGACACACATGATCTTTCTCACTGGTGTGTGTTTTCTGGTGCCGTTTACAATGATCCAGCCGAGCAAAACTCTTTCCACAAAATGAACATGGAAAAGGCCTCTCATTTGTGTGAATTTTCATGTGGTTTTTTAGATGTACTGATAATTTAAAATCTGTACCACACTGATCACAGGTAAATGGCTTTTCTTCAGAGTGAATGAGCAGATGAAAATTGAGACCACTTTTATATCTGTAACTCTTTTCACACTGAGTACAGTGATACGGCTTCTCTCCAGTATGAACTCGCTCATGTATTTTCAGGTGTTCAGACTGAGTGAAACTCTTGTCACAATATGAGCACTTGTAAGGTTTCTCTACAGTGTGAACTCTTTGGTGCCGTTTCAGATAGGCAGCTTTTTTAAAGCTCTTCCCACACTCACGACACACATGATCTCTCACATCATCATGTGTTTTCTGGTGCTGTTTACAATCTTCCATCAATGAACAGTCAGCTGAATGTGAGCAGGTGTGCACCTTTTTGGTTTTTAATCTTTGAGTTCTGAAGTCACTGTGTTCCTCCTCCCCTTCAGTCAGCTCTTGTCTTTGCTCTTTCACTTCTTTCTGGTCTAAAATAAACATAGTTCAAGGAGAACAAAAGTGAAAATTCAACTGAACCCTGATTAGCAGAAAATAACAGAGATCAGGTTAATGAGTTGCATTTTATTATGCATCATACTTATCCAACTTTTTCTTCAACGCGGAAGTAAGCCTATGGGTGAGGCTTCCGGTTCATTAGCCACTATAGGTAAATAACGAGGAGAATAACAATGTGAGGTAAACGGTAAAACACTTGCACTACAAACCAATGTGTTCATAATTAAGATAATACATTAAAATAATATGATAAGACACACCAACTTTCGATATCAAGCAGCAAAACGAACTGTTTTGTTCAGCTAAAAATAGCTGGACGGAGTGGACACAGATGAGACCGGAAGCCAGACCCATATCATTTACAAATGGGCGCGGGCCCATTTTTACGACAAGAAAAAGGTGGATAGAAGCTTTGTTAAAAGGGTCATATGATGCGATTTAAATTTTTCCTTTCTCTTTGGAGTGTTACAAGCTCTTGGTGCATAAAGAAGATCTGTAAAGTTGCAAAGACTAAAGTCTTTTACTAACTTTTATTCTCGCTGTAGTATTGTTGCCGCCGCCGCCATGTCGTGAAGGCGCTGTGTTTCGTTGTGAAAGCGAAACTACTTTGTTTGGCCTTCCAAAAATGGACACGACTAGAAATCAGTGGTTAAGTTGTATTAACAACACTGTTCCAGAACACTTCAATCCAAATATTCAGATGTGTGCAGCGCATTTTATGGAGGACCGTTTCCTGATCCTGGGAGAGTAGACTACAATGCCGACTGTTCTTACTCAAAGACTGTAAGTACGTTTTTTATATTTAAAGAGTTTTTATATTTTATATATTTAAAGCGAGTTTTTTAGGCAGTGTAGAGTAGCGCTTGTTGTTTGTCATTTCTCCGATCACAAATGCAGACATGGTTTTATGTTTACGCGGCGCGATGCAACGCAACACGTAAAAAGACAGAATAAGTCATTATAATCAGTAATTATGTCTCCACTGGATGCAATGAATGCCTCGTTTATAATGGGTTTTCATGTTTTTGAATCGTCGCTCCAGCCGGACAGGGCATCACAGTATGGTGAGGGGCGTAACATTTCCGTCACATGCTTGAGGTATTCGGCCAATCACAATGCACTGGATAGCTGGCCAATCACAGCACACCTTGCTTTTCAGAACGATGAGCTTTGTAAAAATCGACGCGTTTCAGAAAGGCGGGGCATAGAGGAGAAACAATAATGTACAGTATGTGGGAAATAATGTGTTTTTTGAACCTTAAACTGCATAAACATATTTCATTACATCAAATACACAAAATAATGTTCTTTTTAGCAACGTCATATGACCCCTTTAATCTTAATGTTTTTCAGCAGTCAGTAACGAAGAATCAAGAATGGACACCAACCTGTTTGTTTCTCAGTATCTTCATGTTTTATTCTAGATGGTTCAGGATCACTCATGTCGTCAGTCTACTCTTAAACAAAATAAGGATGAAACAAAGCACAGTTTAAACTACATTTAAACTACACTTAAATCCAAAACTGACAACCCACACAAGATAAACATCCTCAGACCGATCAAGTTCATGAATAAATTCAGATTATGATTTCTAAACAGTGTTAGTACATCTTTTCTGCATTAGAAATGAAACACTCATAACAAAACATTGAATAAATCCTACTGGTCATTACTCGCTACAATATCCAGAACTGAAATACCTCACCTCTCAAGCTTTTTCGTGTCAAACTTTGTAAATCACTACTTTCTTAAATTGTGTCTCTTTATTGTGATGCTGCCGCCCACTGGATATTCCTGGTCATTTATAACACAAGATGTAGATAGAAAGAGTAACTAATGTGAGAACTAAAGGACCAACACAAATACAATCTATTACTGCCTCTGAACAGAATCAAATATCTGACTAAAACACTATAAATAGACTAACACATTACTAGGAACCACATATAAAGGAGGTGTTTCTGTGAAGTAGTAATTTAATTAGTTATACGATGTTGCATATATTTATTATTTTATTTATTGTATATATTTTAAAACTTGTAGATTCTATCTGTGTTGTATTTATGATCATTGCTGTACATTCTATACATTTGCAACAGTATTAATGCTGAATTTATGTGATTTAAACATTCATTCTCAATTAATCAAGAATTTTATCTTTTTTTTCCCAATCAAAACACTATATAGTATGTATTAATGGACTGATTTGTCATAAGGCACAAGTGCACCAAACATTTCACCAAGTTAAAAAAATTAAACTAGATGATATTGTGCTTTTGGTTTAAACTGTATTTTTTCTCTTGCACCTTGTCTTTTTTGTATGTTACATGTGTATGTTTATATAATTTCCATATACTACATTGAGACTTGTATTTCTGCATTGCTTTGGTTGACAACAAACTAAACGCTATTTTAATGTTTTGCATTTACTATTTTGATTAAAATTAAAGAAACATATTTTAAAATCTCATAGCCTGTCCTGTATCAATGTGCAATTCCTATTTTTTATACAAATAACATAAGTTTGAAACAGGTCTACCATATTTAAATCTCTCTCCAATAGTTCCCTGTTCTCTCCTCATTCATTATGATGATGTCTGAGATCTTCTGTAAATTGGCACATTAAGCACATTTCATTGTGTGTCAACAGACTGAGACAAACTACAGGATCATCATAAATACATTTTATTACTGCCACTGAACAGAATTAAATGTGACTAAAATATAAAATGAATAAGCATATTATCTCAAATCACAAGTAATCAGAGAGCTTGTCAGTCAAATAAAAATGTTAGTGTTATTATACAAAGCATAGACCTGTTTTGTTTTAAAATTAGTGCTGTCAAACGATTAACTGCGATGAATCGCATCCAAAATAAAAACATTTTTTACATAATAAATGTGTGTGTACTGTGTATATGTATTATATATATATATAAATACACACACATGCATGTATATATTTAAATGTTATGTTTATTGATTAAATATATTGATATATAATATAAATAATATTAATATAAATTTATACATGTAAATATTTTCAAAATATATACTGTATGTGTGTATTTATATATACATAATAAATAGTGCTGTCAAATGATTAATCGCAATTAATCACATCCAAAATAAGTTTTTGTTTACATAATATATATGTATGTGTGCTGTGTATATTTATTTTGTATATTTAAATACACACACATGCATGTATAAAAAATAGGTTATTTTTATATATTTATTTATAATATAAATTATATGAATATAAATGTATTTATAAATTTATAAATGTAAACATTTTCAAAATATATACTGTATGTGTGTGTGTGTATTTATATATACATAATAAATATACACAGTACACACACATATATTATGTAAACAAAAACTTTTATTTTGGATGTGATTAATCACGATTAATCGTTTAAAAGTACTATTTAAATTCAAATTGAAGAAATCATTTCATATTGGAATATGGCTGATTGTTGATTTGTAATGCATTTATTTCTGGTCTCTTTTAATATTTGTATTCTTTGTCCATGTCTTCATGAGGAGACAATAAAATAAAAAAAGGTCATGATTTGCAGCATCCCAACATAACTGCACTGCTAGTTACACACTCTCTCTTCTCCTTCTCTCCACTCTCGGAGACGGACATTTCTAAACTTATCCTTTCCAATCATCCTACTACTTGTCCACTTGATCCTATCCCCACTCACCTCCTTCAGGCCATTTCTTCTTCAGTCATACCTTCGCTTACTCACATTATCAACACCTCTCTTCACACTGGTACATTTCCCACAGCATTTAAGCAGGATCGGGTAAGCCCACTGCTTAAAAAAACCCTCTCTAAATACAGCACTTTTAGAAAACTACAGACTGGTATCCCTTCTTCCATTCATTGCAAAGACACTTGAGCGAGTTGTGTTCAACCAACTCTCTATGTTTCTCGCACAAAACAACCTCCTGGACAGCAACCAATCTGGCTTCAAAAGCGGCCACTTAACTGAGACTGCCCTGCTCTCGGTTACTGAAGCCCCGAGACTGGCAAGAGCAGCTTTCAAATCCTCAGTACTCATCTTGTTGGATCTGTCTGCTGCTTTTGACACAGGCCCATCGTTTCATCACAGCTGCTCTATACAGTTGGGTTCATCAACCATAACTCCTTCCAGGACAGCCAGAAACCTAGGAGTTGTGATCGATGATCTGTTAAGCCTCACCGACCACATTGCTACAACGGCCCAGACCTGCAGATCTGCCTTATACAACATTAGGAAGATTAGACCCTTCCTGTCAGAGCATGCCACACAACTTCTTGTCCAAGCTCTTGTTCTCTCCAGACTGGACTATTGTAATGCTCTCTTGGCGGGCCTTCCCGCATGCACTATCAAGCCTCTGCAACTGATCCAGAATGCAGCAGCGAGAGTGGTCTTCAATGAGCCAAAAAAAGCTTACGTTACTCCTCTCCTCATCAGGTTACACTGGCTACCAGTAGCCGACTAGCCGCTCGCATCAAATTCAAGGTACTGATGCTTGCCTACAAGACCACCACTGGCGCTGCACCAATAATACCTAAACTCGCTAGTTCAAACTTATGTGCCCTCCAGAAGCTTGCGTTCTGCAAGTGAATGGCGCCTTGTGGTGCCATCCCAAAGAGGCACAAAATCACTGGACTGTGTTTCCTGGACTGTGCCCGGCTGGTGGAATAACCTCCCGATCTCAATTCGAACAGCTGAGTCTGTAGCCATTTTCAAAAAACATCTAAAGACACATCTTTTTCGCCAGCACCTGACCAACTAATACTAGCACTTACCTATTCTACTCCATTCTATTATTTAATAATAATAATAAAAAAAAAACTAGCTATGTGTACTGTGCTAGACTAACTGAGACTTGGCGTGGCACTTGTATACTGTTGTTGTTCTCTCGTTGGTCTGATTGCTTCTATTGTTCTCATTTGTAAGTCACTTTGGATAAAAGCGTCTGCTAAATGATTAAATGTAAATGTAATGTAGTTTATTTCAACCATCGACACATTTAAAAGAACGCAATAACCTAATTTACCAAATCACACATCATTTACCAAAATGCACCTATATTTGAGGATAACATTTCTTCACAGAACAATGCTTTTTAACATGAGTCACCAGAGTTGTTGACTGAGTGAAACTCCTTCCACACTGAGTACAGTGATACGGCTTCTCTCCGGTATGAACTCGCTCATGCTTTTTCAGGTTTCCAGACTCAGAGAAACTCTTGTCACAATATGAGCACTTGTAAGGTTTTTCTCCAGTGTGAACTCTCTCATGTGTTTTCAGGTGTTCAGACTGAATGAAACTCTTGTCACAATATAAACACTTGTAAGGTTTTTCTCCAGTGTGAATTCTTTTGTGCCTTTCCAATTGGCTGACATCATTAAAGCTCTTCCCACACTCACAACACATGCAACCTCCTTCACCAGTTTGAATTTTCTGGTGTAGTTTGCAACTGTTACATCGTGAAAAACTCTTTCCAGACAAAGAACACAAGCGAGGCCTCTCATCGGTATGGTTGTTTTCCAGATCAGACTGATCACTGTTAAATTCCTTTTTTTCAGAATGAATCCGCAGATGTTTTTTGAGAACTCTGGCATCTTTGAAACTCTCTCCACACTGAGTACAGTGAAACAGTCTTTCTCCAGTATGAACTCGCTCATGTGTTTTCAGGTTTCCAGAGTGACTAAAACTCTTGTCACAATATGAGCACTTGTAAGGTTTTTCTCCAGTATGAACTCTTTGGTGCTGTTTCAGATGGGCAGCTGTAGTAAAGCTCTTCCCACATTCAAAACACAAGTGATCTCTCACATAATTATGCATTTTCCGGTGCTGTTTATAACTGTCCAATCTTGAAAAACTCCTTCCACAGAGAGAACACAAGTGAGGCTTCTCATCAGAATGAACTTTCAGGTGTGTTTTTAGATTTGATGATGAAATAAACGTTTTACCACACTGATCACAGTTAAATGGCTTTTCTCCAGAATGAACACGCAGATGATAACTGAGAGCAGATGGACCAGTAAAACTCTTTCCACACTGAGGGCATGAGTACAGTTTCTCTCCAGTGTGAATTCTTATGTGACTTTCAAGGTATTTTTTGTGTCCAAAACTCTTTCCGCACTGTGAGCAGATGAGCCGCTTTTTAGCTTTGGTTCTTTTAATTCTGAACTTACGTTTCACATCCTCTTGTGTTTGCACCATCACTTCCATCAAGTCTAAAATAAACATATTAAGTAATTAAACTCTGTTCACGGAGGATACATGTAAAAATTCAAGTAACCCTGATTTAAAAGGTTAGTTCACCCAAAAAAAAGACCTGGTGAGGTTTCTGTCCATTGACAGAATCTTAACTAGTAAGACATTGGAAATGCAAATGCAAATGGACTTTGAGTTTCCATTTAAAATTTGACAGACATGTTACATACACAGAAAAGAGAATGGAAACACAAATGCGCGATTTGCCATTGTGTTTGGATTATGTCGCAACGTATGCGTCCACAAAATGTAAACGCAGTTGCAAATACAGTTTGCAATTCCTTTTGAATATTATCTGGAATATCATTCCACAGATTAATAAGTCAGATGCACAGCGTGCCTTAAATATGGTAAACATGGATATGACCATTTTAATTGCTGGGTGAACTACAGCTTTAATGTGACTACAAATTATCAACTCTTTGACACGAATTATAGTTCTGTCATTCTCTTGGTAATAGAATATATTGTATTAAAACCTGCTATACAGCATTATGAAACATTTCTGTATTTATCATATCTATATTGCTCATCATTTCACAGCAACCAAATCAGTCAATAATGAAGAATGAAGAATAGAAACCAACCTTTCTGATCCTCAGTATCTTCATATTTTATGGCGCATAACTCTGGATCACTGACGTCCTCATTTTCCTCTTTAATGCGCTCCATCTTTACCATAGTATGTCAGACAGATTGCAGTTGTTACACCTGGAGTCTCCTGGTTTATATGGTGAATTGTGGCACTAGCTCTCATTGAAAATTAATACCATCTTGTGGTTTCAACTTAAAGAACCAGACCTGTTGAAATCAAACCAACCCGATCTCATGAAAGTGCGTATAAATAGTACGCCAAATAAAAATGAAAACTCGTGGTATTGATACGCAAAAATGGACTTTGGCGTGTATATGCTACGCGATGGGTAGGTTTAGGGTTGTGGGGTAGATGCGTATCATATGCACGCCAACAAATTTCGTATCATATGCACGCCAAACACATGCGTATCATATGCACGCCAAAGTCAATTTTTGCGTATCACTACCAAGAGTATTTTTATTTTGCGTACTATTTATACGCATTTTCATGAGACCGGGCTCAATCAAACATAACATGTTTATAAAACTGATTCTGACATCAAGTATTTTGGTGCAATTTATCCCTTTATTTTTGTATTTATTTATTTTGTATCTCCATACTTTCATCAGTCTTATGCAATTTTATTAGGTCTTTTTTAATTTATGAAAACTCTATAGTAGTACATTTATAAGACTTATGTAAGTAAACAGATTACTCTGCAAACAATTTCCTAGTAATCGTTTGCTTGATTATAATAAACAATATGCTGTTCTGATAGCATCTTTATTGTATCATAATGTAAAAACACATTCCCAAATGAAGCTGCATGCAATAAAGTGTTTTCAGTTGTAAATGTTCTAGTTACAGCAGTGAATTAAGTTTAGTTACATTAAAGAAAGTTTAAAAAAAACTATCTAATAATGATTTATAAGGACTAATATTATGAAACATTTAAGCAAGCTCATGACATCTACAAGAACTACATACAAGATTTATCCAGTTGGTTAAATAAGCAGCTGACACTGCCACAGAAGCAGCTGAGATGTTAAATTATGTTCCTACGACAAACTGATACGAAAACATTAAACAAATCGAACTATTGAGCGCGACTGTTAATGAATGTAACGCATCAGCTGCATACAAACAGACTTTGTTCCGTTCAGATATGAATCTTTCTGACTAAATCCATCATATGATTCTGCCTTTAAGTGTTTTCAATTCGTACCTCTTGTAGTTCGCTCGTTCACCCTCGTCTTAAATTTGCTGCCGCAAACGCGCTATCGACTGTCGTAAACACCTCATGTAAGAATTGAGCAGCAAAGCTTACTCGCTTCCCAGTCACTCTCTGAATGACTGACTCGTTGATCTTACACTGTTTTTGTTGGCATAAAGCGGCAGTTTACACTGAATAAAGCGTGTCGCTTTAATTTCAATCCAAAATTTCAACACATTTCTTTGTTGGACACAAAGAACAAAAATGCTTCCCATAAATAAAACATGCACATCCCACCTCTCCCTGATAGCGGGAGATATATACTCCATAAGATTATATAAAATATCCCAGAAATGAGTGACTCTTGTTTCTACCCAGTGTTGCCAACTTAGCAATTTTGTTGCTAAATTTAGCAACTTTTCAGACTACCCTAGCAACTTTTCTTCCAAAAGCACCTAGCAACAAATTTAGCTATTTAAAAAATTTATTCGGCAGCTTTTAGCAACTTTTGATAAGTGACTCAAATGTTAAAAAGGCACAATTTACCATTTAAATGACACAAAAAGAGGAAACCAAAGATGCCTAGCAGTACACACGTTACAGGAATTAAGTTAGCTTCTATTTGCAATTGTTTAATTTAATAGTAATAATAATAATAGTAATTGAATGCTGTTATTTTTCATTTATGAGACACTTTGTTAGTAGCTTGTACCTGTGATTGTTGATGAGTTAGTACACTGTAAGAAAAATATGCAGAAAAATGGAAAAGGTGCTAGTAATTTTCCAGGACATTATCCGTATATATATATAGAGAGAGAGAGAGAGAGCCTACATGAAGTTTATGTTCCAGCGAAATATGTACATTTATAAATAAATGTGTCTGATTTATTTGAAAACTCCAAATTAAAACTCACAAACTAAGGGAATCGTTTCACACTTGGTTTTTGTTACATTTGTTTCCTGTCTGTTTTGTTACTTTGTCTAAGTCTTTATGAGGGGATTTTCAATCAAAGAATAAAAATGCATAAATGCAAAATTAAAGTCGTAATTTGCTGTTCCCCAGCAAAACTACTTTATTTTAACAAACTGCACATTTACTTTATCTGAATCTCACGCACTTGAAAAAGTATTTGAATCTGTAGAAAACATTTGCTCACTCTGACACAGAACAATGCTTTTCCATATGAATCGCTACAGTCTTTGACACAGTGAAACTCTTGTCACAATATGAGCACTTGTAAGGTTTTTCTCCAGTATGAACTCTTTTGTGCCGTTTCAACTGGCCGACCGCAGTAAAGCTCTTCCCACAATCCAAACAAACGTATTCTTTTACGTCATCATGCATTTTCTGGTGCATCTTACAACTGTTCAGTCTTGAAAAACTCTTTCCACACAAAGAACACAAGTGAGGCTTTTCATCTGTATGAACATTCATGTGACATTTTAGATTTGATGCCGATTTAAACTTTTTTCCACACTGATCACAGCTAAATGGCCTTTCTCCAGAGTGAATGTGCAGATGATAACTGAGATTTTTGGTGCTTATGAAACCCTCTCCACACTGAATACAGTGATACGGCTTCTCTCCAGTGTGAACTCGCTCATGTGCTTTCAGGTTTCCAGAAAGAGTGAAAGTCCTGTCACAATATGCGCACTTGTAAGGTCTTTCTCCAGTGTGAATTCGTTGGTGCTGTTTTAGTTGACTAGCTGTAGTAAAGCTCTTCCCACATTCACAACACACATGATCTCTCACTTCATCATGTGTTTTCTGATGCTGTTTACAACTGTCCAGCCGTGAAAAACTCTTTTGACACAAAGAACACTCATAAGGCCTCTCATCTGAATGAACTTTCTGGTGTGTTTTTAGTTTTGATGAGGAAATGAAATGTTTACCACACTGATCACAGCTAAAAGGCTTTACTCCTGAGTGACAGAGCAGATGTTTACTGAGACCTGATGAACGAGTAAAGCTCTTTGCACATTGATGGCATGTGTATGGTTTCTCTCCAGTGTGCATTCTTGCGTGTGTGTTAAGATTTCCTTTGTGTGTGAAGCTCTTTCCACACTGTGAGCAGGTGTGCAGCTGTTTGGCTTTTGTTCTTTGAGCTTGAAAGGTACAACGTTCATCCTCTGCTTCATTTAGTTCATGTACTTGCTGGTTCACTTCCATCCAGTCTAAAATAAAAATAAGATGTGGATAAAATCAGTTCAAGTGAACCCTGATTTAATAGCAGAAAGAAACAGAGATAGCTATATAAAGTATCTGATGTGCCAAAGGTTAGTTCTGTCATTCTCTTGTTAATTAAAATAAAATGTGGATGACAACTGCTATACAACAAGATTCTGATCATTTAAATGCATTTTATGTATCATTTATCATCTCAATATTACTCAACTCAAGAATACACCAACCTGTTTGTTCCTCAGTATCTTCATATTTAATTACACACGGTTCTGGATCACTCATGTCGTCAAGCTCCACTTTAACAAACTCCATATTTCTCATATTTCTGTCAATTTCTCCTGTTATTTACTCTCAGGACAATCTTCTTCTTTCACGTTTTGTGGCAGGTTCTAAACCACTTTACGGTGCATTTGCGCCATCTACTGGAGTGTAGAGCACTGTGTTTGGAAAAAGGGAATAAATCAATTCCTGTCATTCTGTTCTGCTCAGTTTGACTTCATTTAGTAGTGCATTATATAATCAGACAGTATATATATTAGAGTTTTATATTGCAGATGCATAGTCATTAAATCTCTATCTACACAAAAATAATAATATAAAAGTAACACGAAACAAAAACTGAACTGAAAAGTATCTTGACAAAAACTCAAAATTGAAATTATTTTCATGCAGAAAAAAAAACATTGGCTGTTGGTTATGTGGGAGCAATATTTATATTATTTTATTTATTTATTCTTTAATTTGTTGCTTTTGTTCCTAGTCTCAGACATTTGTGGCCCTGGAGCACAAAAGCAGTGTTAAGTCACTGGGGGATATTTGTAGCAATAGCCAACAATACATTGTATGGGTCAAAATTATTGATTTTTCTTTTATGCCAAAAATCATTAGGATATTAAGTAAAGATCTTGTTCCATGATCTATTTTGTAAGTTTCCTACTGTAAATATATAAAAACTTAATTTTTGATTAGTAATATGCATTGCTAAGAACTTCATTTTGACAACTTTAAAGGCGATTTTCTCAATATTTGATTTTTTTTTTTTTTTGCACCCTCAGATTCCAGATTTTCAAATAGCTTTATCTCAGCCAAATATTACCAAATATCCTAACAAACCATACATCAATGGAAAGCTTATTTGTTCAACTTATGATGTATAAAACTCAATTTCTAAAAATTGACCCTTATGACTGGTTTTGTGCTCCAGGATAACATTTGGTGCGACATTTCCAACGCATTAATAAGAGAACAAGAATCAGAATAAAAATCATTAAGAAAGCAAGCATAAATATAAAATAATAAAGTAGTTGCTAGAGCCCAATAAAAACGTACAACACACAAATGATGTGGCATTTCACAGCAGCACATATTTATTTTAACAAAACATTTGCTTTGTATGAATCTCATATTATTCACTTCATAGCACTGAACAAAAAAAAATTCACTGTCACACATCACTATTATTTAGATTATTTGCAATCTATATTTTAGATTTTGCAAAACTTATAAAGACACCTCTACACGGTTACATCATTGTTTATCAAATCTTCCGACCACCTTTACAGCCTAACTTGGTTGTTGTCTTGTATAGGTTAATGCTTTGTTCAACTTTACATTTCAGTGATTGACAGAAAAATGCAAATATTATTTTACTTAATTTTTCATTGCAAAAATTAGTCCGCACTGTTGCGATGGCAATAAATGAGAACATAAAAGTCACAATATATAATATATAATACATTATGTAATATAATACACAAATATTTGCTCTCAAGAACCTCTACAGAAAGTTTGCTATAAATTACATCTGTGTTTCAAACCCATAAATGTGAAAAGGACACTTAAGCAACTTCTTCAGTGTGAGAAACTGATTGTTTGGTTGATTAAAAACCCTAGCTGCTCAACTTTGGTATGCAAAACTCTTCCCACACGGAGTACAGTGGTACTGCTTTCCTCTAGTATGAACTTGCTTGTGTATATTCAATGATAGTCGATAAGCTAAACTAGTAAGGTTTTTCTCCAGTATGAATTTGCAGATGACGTATGAGAGCTGATGCCTCCACGAAACTCTTTTCACACTGCGGACACCTGTACGGTTTCTCTCCAGTGTGGAGCATTGTGTGCCTGTCAAGATGTACTTTTTGCGTGAAGCTATTTTCACAATGAGGGCACGTGTATGGTCTCTCTCCAGAATGAACTCTTAAGTGTCTCTTAAGATTCTGTCTATCTGTGAAACTCTTTCCACACTGAGAGCAGCTGAAAGACCGGATCTTAAAGGCCTGATGGTAAAATTTGATGTGCTTGCTAAGGTGTGCTTTTTCTGCAAAACTCTTTCCACAATCAGGGCAGGTGTTTGGTTTCTCTCCAGTGTGACGTCTTAGGTGTATCTTAAGTCTGTATTCATTTGGACAGACCTTTCCACACTCAGTGCAGGTGTAAGACTTCTGTCCGATATGCATTCTTATGTGCTTGGCAAGATGTTGCTTTTCTGTAAAACTCTTTCCACACTGAGGGCATGTGAATGGTTTCTCTCCAGTATGAATTTTTAAGTGTCTTTTAAGTCTGCATTTAAATGCATAGCTCTTTCCGCAATAAGAGCAGGTGAAACTCAGCTTTTCTCCAGAGTGAATTCTTGCATGGTTCTTTAGGCTCTCTCTACTCGCAAAACCTCGTCCACACTGATCACATTCGTAAGGCTTTTCTCCGGTGTGAATTCTTATATGGCATTTAAGGTGTTTGTTTAGTATGAAACTCTTTCCGCAATCATGGCAGGTGTATGGTTTTTCTCCAGTGTGAGTTTTTAAGTGATACTCCAGGTTCTCTTGGCGTGTAAATCTCTTTTCACACTGATGACATTTTAAAGACTTTCTGGCTTTTGCTCTTTGAGTTCTGCTTCGTGAGACATTCTTTTCCTTAAAGGTTTCCTCCCCATTTAAAAGACTTTGAGGTTTCTCACACCACTCCACTCCATTCGGTTCTCGATTTTCCTCTTTCACATCCATCAGATCTGGGGAAAAAAAGTATTAAGAATCAAATGCAATCTGAAGTAAGTGTCTTTTAAGTCTGCATTTAAATGCATAGCTCTTTCCGCAATAAGAGCAGGTGAAACTCAGCTTTTCTCCAGAGTGAATTCTTGCATGGTTCTTTAGGCTCTCTCTACTCGCAAAACCTCGTCCACACTGATCACATTCGTAAGGCTTTTCTCCAGTGTGAATTCTTATATGGCATTTAAGGTGTTTGTTTAGTATGAAACTCTTTCCGCAATCATGGCAGGTGTATGGTTTTTCTCCAGTGTGAGTTTTTAAGTGATACTCCAGGTTCTCTTGGCGTGTAAATCTCTTTTCACACTGATTGAGTTCTGCTTCGTGAGACATTCTTTTCCTTAAAGGTTTCCTCCCCATTTAAAAGACTTTGAGGTTTCTCACACCACTCCACTCCATTCGGTTCTCGATTTTCCTCTTTCACATCCATCAGATCTGGGGAAAAAAAGTATTAAGAATCAAATGCAATCTGAATCAAAATGTAAAAAAAATAAACAACAGAGATCAAACATCTATTTGTATGTGCTTTTGATTGGATAAAGTTAATTCTGATGTTAATACACTCAAAAAAGACTAATCAAACTATTACTGTACAGCTTTATAACGATTTAGATGAATAGTCCAATGCATTTTTAATTTCACTGCTTCTTATTTTCTAACTGCGGATATAAAATCTGGCGAACTGCCAGATGCTTTGTTATCTTAATATTCTTCAGCAGTAAATAATCAAAATCAAGAAGGGACTCCAACCTCTTTGTCTTCATATATGTTCACGTTTCTGGATAACTGTGTTAACTGAATTGTGATCGCTGTGTGGTGACCAAATCTGCTGAGCTAAACATCACACATAAGTCACTGAATTGATAGTTTCTATAAAAATTGTACCGATATTTCTGTTTTTGTTTTATTTGCCGACAAACTGTATTGCCATAAAGAGCTAAAGTTTACACACACCTTGCAGAATCTGCAAAATGTTAATTATTTTACCAAAATAAGAGGGATTGTACAAAATGCAAGTTATCGTTTATTCAGTACTGACCTGAATAAGATACTTCACATAAAATACATTTATGTATAGTCCACAAGAGAAAATAATAGTTGAATTTATAAAAATGACCCAGAATGGAGATGTGTACTTTTTTCTTATTTTGCATAAATATCATATTTTTTCATTTAGTACTGCCCTTCAGAGGCTACAGAAGATAGTTGCATGTTTCCCAGAAGACAAAATAAGTTAAATTTACCCTGATCTTCAAATTCATGGCTCTTAATGCATGTTTTTTTCCTTCTGGAGCATCAGCGAGTGTTTGAACCTTCTGTAATAGCTGCATATGAGTCCCTCAGTTGTCCTCAGTGTGAAAAGATGGATCTCAAAATCATACAGTCATTGTTGAAAAGGGTCCAAATACACAAAAATGCTGGAAAACCAAATCATTTGTGGGACTTGAAGGATTTTTCTGAAGAACAGCAGACGGTTTAACTGTTCAGGACAAACAAGGGACTCATGAACAACCATCACTAAACATTTTATTCATATATTGGTTGAAACCCCAATCACACATGAAGACAAAAACTAAAACAAGCAAAAACGGTAAATTAATAAATTAATATTAAATTAATAATATGAGTCAGAATACAGATTCCTCTGAAACACCAAATATATATTCTAGGTTATTTAAAATAAGTAAGCATATTTGCTGTTACAAATAAAACATGTATTCATTCACTATCTCCAACCGTTTCATTTTGCAGCAGATTTTATTTAAAAAAAAAAAAAGTACACGGGTCTGTACAAAGACATTGCATACAGAAAACTGAATTTTAACATCCGAACACTTATTAGTTACATCACATATTCTTATTTTAGAGAAGAGATGTCTTACCAGTTGTTTTCTTCCCGCATCTGTACAAATACTACACTCCGCCGTAAACGCGCTCTCACTGTCGTAAACATCTACCGTACCGCGTCTGCTGGTGTCACACTGTGCCAGATATATACCAATAAACATTTTGAGTTAATGTACTCCAGACAAATTTATTTTCAGGTAAAGTGGGCCATTCCTTATTTATCAAAAAACATACCGCATCCTAATTAAAAGCACATGATTTATTAACGGATATGATCAGACAAACATATTTAACAAACCCAAAACATACCTACAGGTGATGAGTAAAATAAATCATGTGTAAATCTTCATCTCAACTCATGTGTGAAATTCCAAACAACTAAAATAACAGGTTGTGTTGACATTAAATTGGATGAAATCTGAAAATCGGAATATTCAGAAATCAGAATATTGATAAAAAATGAACTCTACATTAAAGATGCGACTATA